TTAGAATGCCCCCTCTAATGGAATGCCACCTCTAATGGAATGCCACCTCTAATAAAATGCCCCCTCTAATGGAATGCTCCTCTCCATTAGAATGCCCCCTCTAATAGAATGCCCTTTTGGTATTCTCTAGCATTCTAATGGAGAGCAGACATGCACGAAACGTTTCGTTTCGTTTCGTTGTTTCGTTAGTTTCGTTATGTTTTTTTCTGTTTCGTCTCGTTTCGTGACGAAACAGTTTTTAATTTGTTTCGTTTCGTTTTGTTAACGAAACACCTGTGTTTCGTTAACGAAACATTACCAATTTTCTAGCCCAAAATATTACCCAAAAACTGAAAAAAATTCCCCTTTGGTGATGAAAATTTAAAAAATTTTTGCCTGCGGCGAAGAAATCTTGATTTTAAGCGCCTACGGCGCATAATTTACTATATTTTTTTAGAATTTACCGTTTAATTTTATGTTTTTTAATACGCAAAGTTCGAATTCCATGCCAGATTAGACATATAGAAAGGGTCTACCTCTTGCCAATCAGGGTCGGGCGCAAGAGAATTGAATTTAAAATTTCAATTTCAATAAACGGGACAAATGATCATGAATAGGGTTGCCGTTTTCGAGTCGCGCCAGTACGAGTCTTTTTCGGGCCAAATCCGAGTCGGTCCATTTTGCCAACCCTAATCATGAACGTTGTTAATTAACAAAAAATCTGACTGAGTAGAGGAATATCAGGGGATTTGGCGAGAGAAATGGTGGTATAGTAAATTAGGAGAGTAAACGGATATCAGTGGATTTGGAGGGTTGAAAAAATTTAAATTAAAAAAATTGTCGGGAATCCGGAGCGGGTTTCGGGAATAGTAATTTCCTACAAAATTTTGTGCTGATTTTAGAAACGGCAGGATCCCTGATTTACACCTTTTCCCAACACATAATTCGATAGTAGTCGATTTGCCGGAATTAAGGCTGATATAGTGGATAAAGAGGGTAACACGCGTAAATTTTGGAGCCTGGGACCACAATTTAAGGTCCTACAAAGCTATGAGATTATATATAGGCCATAACTGACATATTAACGTGCCTAAAATAAAATAATTAAAAAAATAAAACCGTTTTTATTAAATTTTTTGAAAATTAAAATGTTTCGTTTTGTTTAGTTTCGTTTCGCTAAATTTTTACTGTTTCGTCTCGTTTCGTTAACGAAACGATTTTTAAAAAATTTTGTTTCGTTTCGTTTCGTCTGAAAAAATTTTGGAGTTTCGTGCATGTCTGATGGAGAGGGCATTCTAATGGAGGGGAGGGGCATTCTAATAGAGTATATAGTCTAATGGAGGAGGGCATTCTAATAGAGTAATCATCATAAAGATTAAACCGATATTTCCTTCCTCACAGAGATAAATATTTATTTACTTACAGTAAAGTCTGCTACATCTTTTCCAGAAACATAAAATGTATTGGAATTTTCAAATTTTAGGCCAATATTTGATTTTCCATCAGATTTAAGATCAGTACATTTTTCATTAAAATAATAAAATTTAGTTTTATCATCAAACTGGGCATTTAAAGCCTTTGCAATTTTTCCAATATTTTTGGAACTCCCTGTTAGAGTTCTGGCATGCCAATAATAATTGAGAATGAATTCAGAAGTCTTCCCTACATTTACAAGTGTTTCTCCTTTATTATCAACGAGCTTATCAACAAAAATAAAAGCTCTATCAAACTTCGTCTCCTTAATTTGAAATATATACAGAAGAATCTTGATTATAACCAGAGGTGGGTCGGAATTCTGATGTACGACTTCCGATTTCCGACGTTTTTTTCCTTCTGATTTCCGAAAAAAATTTTGATTTCCGATTTCCGAGTTCCGACTTTTGACCCATTTACGATTTCCGGCTCTTCCGATTTCAGACACCACTGACTGTTCCGACCCACCTCTGATTATAAGTTGCTATCGACATTTAAGATTAATTTCGTTATATCAAACGTAGAACTGTACTAGGTACGGGATACGGTACGGCAAATACACAAAAATTTTTTTCATACGGGAGCTAGTAGTGAATAGAGATCGGCCTGGGTCTGGACCAAGGCCTGGGTTTTTTCTGTATCCAGAGTTCAGACCCAGACATTTTTTGACCTTGGGTTTTTCCTGGAATAAAGACTCAGGATCCGGCCCAGGTCAATTAATCACACTCCAGGAACAGACTCAGGCTTTTCAAAAATCTCAATCTCTAATTGGGGATTTCGGGGTGACTTAATCTTTCTAAACCCACCGATATCCCTTTAATGATCCGATATCCCTCTAAATACCCTTATATGCATATCTCTTCATATCCACCAGAGGTGGGTCGGAACAGTCAAAGGTGTCGGAAATCGGAAGAGCCGGAAATCGGAACTGGCTCAAAAGTCGGAACTCGGAAATCGGAAATCAAGTTTTTTTGGAAATCGGAAGTCTGAAATCGGAATTCCGACCCACCTCTGATATCCACTGATATCCTCTCAAATAACCCTTAATCCATCCGTTTGAAGGTTGACTTACATCAAATGTTGCATTAATCGGTTTACTCATCTTATCCAAATCGCAATAATTTTGAAAATATTTCTCTTCATCATAACAAAAATTTTTAGAATACAGCTGTTCAGACATCTCAGGATTACAACTATTATAAACACCATCGTAAACACCATCTCCATTGGAGAGGGCATTCTAATGGAGGGGAGGGGCATTCTAATAGAGTATATAGTCTAATGGAGGAGGGCATTCTAATAGAGTAATCATCATAAAGATTAAACCGATATTTCCTTCCTCACAGAGATAAATATTTATTTACTTACAGTAAAGTCTGCTACATCTTTTCCAGAAACATAAAATGTATTGGAATTTTCAAATTTTAGGCCAATATTTGATTTTCCATCAGATTTAAGATCAGTACATTTTTCATTAAAATAATAAAATTTAGTTTTATCATCAAACTGAGCATTTAAAGCTGTTGCAATTTTTCCAATATTTTTAGAACTCCCTGTTAGAGTTCTGGCATGCCAATAATAATTGAGAATGAATTCAGAAGTCTTCCCGACATTTACAAGTGTTTCTCCTTTATTGTCAACAAGTTTATCAACAAAAATAAAAGCTCTATCAAACTTCGTCTCCTTAATTTGAAATATATACAGAAGAATCTTGATTATAACCAGAGGTGGGTCGGAATTCTGATGTACGACTTCCGATTTCCGACGTTTTTTTCCTTCTGATTTCCGAAAAAAATTTTGATTTCCGATTTCCGAGTTCCGACTTTTGACCCATTTACGATTTCCGGCTCTTCCGATTTCAGACACCACTGACTGTTCCGACCCACCTCTGATTATAAGTTGCTATCGACATTTAAGATTAATTTCGTTATATCAAACGTAGAACTGTACTAGGTACGGGATACGGTACGGCAAATACACAAAAATTTTTTTCATACGGGAGCTAGTAGTGAATAGAGATCGGCCTGGGTCTGGACCAAGGCCTGGGTTTTTTCTGTATCCAGAGTTCAGACCCAGACATTTTTTGACCTTGGGTTTTTCCTGGAATAAAGACTCAGGATCCGGCCCAGGTCAATTAATCACACTCCAGGAACAGACTCAGGCTTTTCAAAAATCTCAATCTCTAATTGGGGATTTCGGGGTGACTTAATCTTTCTAAACCCACCGATATCCCTTTAATGATCCGATATCCCTCTAAATACCCTTATATGCATATCTCTTCATATCCACCAGAGGTGGGTCGGAACAGTCAAAGGTGTCGGAAATCGGAAGAGCCGGAAATCGGAACTGGCTCAAAAGTCGGAACTCGGAAATCGGAAATCAAGTTTTTTTGGAAATCGGAAGTCTGAAATCGGAATTCCGACCCACCTCTGATATCCACTGATATCCTCTCAAATAACCCTTAATCCATCCGTTTGAAGGTTGACTTACATCAAATGTTGCATTAATCGGTTTACTCATCTTATCCAAATCGCAATAATTTTGAAAATATTTCTCTTCATCATAACAAAAATTTTTAGAATACAGCTGTTCAGACATCTCAGGATTACAACTATTATAAACACCATCGTAAACACCATCTCCATTGGAGAGGGCATTCTAATGGAGGGGAGGGGCATTCTAATAGAGTATATAGTCTAATGGAGGAGGGCATTCTAATAGAGTAATCATCATAAAGATTAAACCGATATTTCCTTCCTCACAGAGATAAATATTTATTTACTTACAGTAAAGTCTGCTACATCTTTTCCAGAAACATAAAATGTATTGGAATTTTCAAATTTTAGGCCAATATTTGATTTTCCATCAGATTTAAGATCAGTACATTTTTCATTAAAATAATAAAATTTAGTTTTATCATCAAACTGAGCATTTAAAGCTGTTGCAATTTTTCCAATATTTTTAGAACTCCCTGTTAGAGTTCTGGCATGCCAATAATAATTGAGAATGAATTCAGAAGTCTTCCCGACATTTACAAGTGTTTCTCCTTTATTGTCAACAAGTTTATCAACAAAAATAAAAGCTTTATCAAACTTCGCCTCCTTAATTTGAAATGTGTACAGAAGAATCTCGATTATAAGCAGAGGTGTGTCGGAATTCTGATGTACGACTTCTGATTTCCGACGTTTTTTTTCTTACGATTTCCGGAAAAAAATTTTGATTTCCGATTTCCGAGTTCCGACTTTTGGCCCATTTCCGATTTCCGGCTCTTCCAATTTCCGACACCTCTGACTGTTCCGACCCACCTCTGATTATAAGTATCTAGAGTTCAGACCCAGACATTTGTTGACTTTTTGGGTTTTTCCTAGACACATGCCCAGGATCCGGCCCAGGTCAATAAATCAAACCCAGAGTCCAGGAACAGACTCAGGCTTTTCAAAAATCTCAATCTCTAATTGGGGATTTGGAGCTGAATTAATCTTTCTGAACCCACCAATATCCTCTTAATTATCAGATATCCCTCTAAATACCCTTATATCTCTATCTCTTCATATCCACTGATATCCTCTCAAATAACCCTTAATCCATCCGTTTGAAGGTTGACTTACATCAAATGTAGCATTAATCGGTTTACTCATCTTATCCAAATCGCAATAATTTTGAAAATATTTTTCTTCATCATAACAAAAATTTTTAGAATACAGCTGTTCAGACATCTCAGGATTACAACTATTATAAACACCATCATAAAGAATCATAGCAAAATCAACAAAAAATTCGTCCCCATTTTTTCTCGAGTTTAACTTGTCAGTTTTATTAAAATTAAATTTTTTTCCTCCTAAGTTTAACATTTCTTTAGTTTTTAAAATTTCAAGATTTCGGCTTTCCACATTTTTTGATTCAACAAAATTCCAATTTAAACAGAAAAATAAATAAATGGTGAAAAATAAAATTAGAGGGAAGGAGGGAAATTTATTTTTAATCAACATTCTTGGGCGTTTAAAATTTTTATTTTTGGAGGTGAGTAGCCCCTTTAAATAAGCAAATTTTGGGCCAGAATTTAGCAATGGTCGTTATCTAAATAAAATTTTTTTTTTATTTTTAGAGTATCCTCCATTTATTGGGTACAGCCCAAGTAGGCGTACGGACAAGTAGGCGCTAAGCCTTAACTTGCTTCAAGTTGTCCGAATCTTATCAAATTTAGTATTAAACGACTCCTCTCATCAAGCTGAAGAGATTGGTACCAAAATTTTCACGGGTCAGAAATTTTCCAGCTAGTTATGGTACCTGGCCGTGCGCTTAGGCGTCTCCCTCATTATAATAACTCCAATTTAAATTATTTTTGTGCACAAATTTAATTCGTTTCATTTCAATGCTAATTGCTTTCTTAATTTAACAGGGAAAATTAGAAAGAATGTTTAGCCAACCAATTCATTGAAAGTTAAAGGTCCGGGAATTTTTTCTAATTTTTCTAAGGATGATTCAGAATTGTGTATTACTCTCGTGAGTACCTCCCCAAAAAGTTGGCTATGATCGTGTCAAAATAATAAAAAATAAACCAAAAATTTGACCCATGGGACCTAAAAATTGTCTTGAGTATTGTTAATTTTTGGTCTTGAGTCTTTGGGTCAAGTCTTGAGTCTTGGGGTCTAGTCTTGAGTCTTGGAAAATTTTCGGTCTCGGACGTCTCTATATGTTTATAATTGATTTTTAAAAATAAATTTAAACAAATTTGTTAAACTATATTTTTTTTAATCTTCTTAATAATTCATCAAAAATTTAACTTGACTTCCCTCAAAAATAAGCTTTGTCCCCCTATGGTTTTTCAACTTTGGGGTACTGTATCTCTGCCCATAATTGAGTCCACGGGCTAATTTTGACGTCGTTCGACTCAGCTTTATGAGTTGAATAAAATAATCAAATTTTCCGTAATTACTTATGTTTTCTGTCATTTTTTAAGGCAATTTCAATTGTAATTTTAAAAATGTATTTAAAAATTTGTTCCTTTTTTTAATTTGATCTAAAATTAACTTGACGTTTTTTTCTTCTTTTTCATCCTAAAAACGGGATTTACAGTCGATTAAGAAATTATAATTTTATATGAATAAAATTTTGATTTTTGTATTAGAAATGATATATTCCCAATTTCGGAAATTGGGAATTCCCGAATTTTTTCCAATTTCCGATTTCGGGAAATCGAGATCCCGGTTTAGAAAACCGTCGGGAATAGTCGATTTTCGGGAATTTCGGGAAGTTTGCAGGTCTTTGTCGGGGATCGATGTTGGACTTTGAGACTAGGAGATATGATCTGTTATAAACCAATCAAATAAATGTAATGGAAGGTAAATACGAGGAATTAGGACATACTTAAACAAATATTCTGTCGATATAAAAAAGAATTCCCGATTCGAGAATTGAAGGTTCCGACCCAAAAACGTTGGGAATTTTCGATTTTTTAAAATTTTGATAGATGTCTATAACAATGTACAAGATCGAGATCTCGAAAAAATCTCGATAATATAGATTTTTTATAAAAATTATTAGTTAAAATTAACTGTTATTTTATTTTATAAAAAATACACAAATCAATTTTAGCTTTTTTAAAAGACCAATTTTAGTTTGAATTTATTAATACCTTTTTGTTTGCATAAAAATTTTATTTGAATCTGAGAAAACCCCACATTTTACCGCAGCCAAGACCTTACCTCCCTAATCATTAACCACTTCTAATTAAAAAACTTTGTTGCTCTTCGATACCTGCGGTAAAATGGAATCATTCGAAAATCAAATTTAGCTCGCTACTTATGCCTTCATCATAAAAATTTAATTTTAATAGCAAAAAAAATTGGATTCGAATATCTAAAAATTATAATACTTCAAACTACAGCATTGGAATAAAATGTTGGTTAAATTTTGACAATCTATTCAATTTTACAACAAATATCTAACTTAAATTAAATAAAATAAGCCTCATAGTTAATGCACTTTTTTTAGCGTCGGCGCTAAAATTTAAAGAATTTTGGAAGGCCAGAAGCCAGATTTCTTCCTTTACTCTATTTTATATCTCAGAAATTTAAATAAAATTTTCAGAAATTTAATTAAATGGCTTCTTCAAAAAATATTTTTATTGTTCCTTTCTTGTTTTTAAATTTATTTTTATTATTTCAATTAAATATTTCAATTAGACTTTGTGTTTACGAAGAATGTACAAGTAATAGTGATTGCTGTTCTGGGTTTGTCTGTAGATTTCAGGCAACTGATAAGGGCACTTGTAAACGTACAAGTGACAGCAAATGTATAGAGAAGAATAATTTTTATTGTGACAATAAAGACAATAAATGCTGTACAGGATTAAATTGTAAAACTACTTCTGCTGGTTATTCCATTTGTCGACCTTACGACCCCGTTAAAGAAAGTAAGGCTTGCGATGTTAATGATAGAATGTATAAGCAATGCGGTTATGGATTGTATTGTCAAAACAATAAATGTGTAAAGTGTAAATCTATGAAAGAACAACACTTGTGCCAAATTTAAAAAAAAATTTAAAAAATTCTCTTAAACTATTTCTTTCGACTCTTCATTTTTCACCTTCCTATCATTTGTTGGGAAAATCTATTTTTAATCAATTTAAATTCAAACTTTAATTTCCAAATTTTATTTTAATTTATTTCCAAGGATAAAGATTGAAAAGTTTTTTTAGAAAAAGAAAAGGAAAACGAGAATGAAAATATTTTTTAAAATTCTTTATTTTTTAAATATTTCGTTCGTAGATGACGAAAATTCTGTTAAACTGTTGTTATAATTTTGTGATAAATAATCGGCTCTACTCCAGATTATGCGTCCAATCGACTTTTATGCGTCCAATGAAAGTTTATGCGTCCAATAAAAAGAAAATTGGATTTTTCTTGGTATTGCAAAGTTGGGGTATGGTTCCACAACATTTCTTCATGTTCGGGACCTACGCCCACTGGGTCTGGGACCATTTCTTGCACTATCCATCGAAATTTTTTAAAGTTACAGCCAATTTTTTAAAATTTTAGAAAAACGATTATAACTTTCAGAAATTTCGAGAAATCGGGTAATGAACGGTCCCAGACCCAGTGGACGTAGGTCCCGAACATGAAGAAATGGTTTGGAGCCATACCCCAACTTTGCAATACCAAGAAAAATCCAATTATCTTTTCATTGGACGCATAAACTTTCATTGGACGCATAAAAGTCGATTGGACGCATAAACTGGAGTAGAGCCAAATAATCTACATATGGGATTAAGTATGTTTTAGTTAAACTAGTCTAGAAATAGTCTTAATATATAATAGTCTTAATATATAATCATCAATTTTGAATCAACTTAATTATTTTATTTAACACAAATTATATTTATTTTTAAATTATTTACTCCCAATGTAAAAAAGAAAAGTTTTTTTGATTAATTATAGAAAGAAAGCATAAAAAGTCTGCCATCCGATTGTCTGCCATCCCGATTCCCGAAATCGGATAATTATTTTTTGTATCGGCAGGATCCCAAGTACATACTAGAATAAAGATATAAGGAAGAAAACCAGAAAATAGGAAAGAAAATTATTTAATTATTAAAAATAACGACAAAGGCCATCTAAACATTGCAGACCATCACAGCAATGAAAAGTATTACCAGAATTATCACAAGGATCGTTTTCCTTCAAACACGTTTCACATTTGTTTGAATTATAAGAACAAAAAGATCCAAGACAACAATACAGCCATTCTTTGTTTATATCGCAATGCCCACCTTGCTTAACACAATTGTAACGTCCACAAAATGAACCGCCAGTAGCTTTAGTTTTACAACTTAAAAAGGCACAGCATTTATTGTCCTTATTGTTACACCTGATTTCATTCTCTTGAAGACAGCAATTAATTGGTTTAAATAATATAAATAAATTTAAAAATAAAAATAGAACAAGAAAAATATTATTTAAAGAAGCCATTTAATTAATTCTTTTTTCTGGAAATTTTTATTTTATAGTACACTTTTTCCCGTGATTTTATACGTTGTGTCATTCGATAGAACTTGGAAAACTGGCCAAACTAGGTGTGGCCAGAGTCGATCCAACAATTATGGAGCGAGTTTAGAAAACAAAAATAGAAAGGAAAGGAGCTTGGAAAACATACAGTCTCGCTAGGAATGGATTTTGAATAGGGTTGTCGGTTCTTGGAAAATCTTGAACCGAAAAATCATCGGTTTTTAGTTCGGTCCAGAACCGACAACCCTAATTTTGAACTGAATCATTATTATTTTTGAACTAAACGACACTTGAGGACCCGCACTCGAGGGCCACACATTTCCAAATTACGAGAATCGACAAAATCCGACTTGATTGGACCGAGATATAGACCTTTGAAAATTGAACAACCACAGGGGCGAAAACCCAAAAGGACGAAAAAGCATACAAATGATAGCTCATTCGAAATAGCTCGTCGAGTTGTTCGAATGACACGGAAATCAACGTAATCGGACGAGTTTTGACAGGTTGTGACATAATGTTCCCGACTCCGGTAGGTCTAAATAATGTCATAACTTTGTCTAAACTAGTCCAATTTTTTAAATGAAATCGTCGATTACGTTGATTTCGTGTTGATGTCGGTGTCATTCGATTCAGTTCGACCAGCTCTTCGAATGAGCATTGTGTAAATTTTTATTTTTTGTGTAAAAAAATTTATCATTTGTGTAAATTTTTTTCATTTCAAGAAATTACCCCTGTGGTTGTTCAACTTTCAGGGGTCTCTCTCCGCCAATGATGAATGAATTTATGATTATTTTAGATGTTCATTAAAATATTTAAAATGGTATGTTTTGGAGAAATTTACCCGGATTTTATATAAAATTTCATAGAGTTTGTGCCTTTACCAATTTACAGACTACAAAGTTTTAAGTAAAAATCAGTACAAATTGGAAAAAATTCGTATACAATTGCAGAAAAATTTGCTATAAAAGTTGGGGGTTTTC